ACATGATCGATGCATGTAGATGCTTCAAGTTTGGATCCTTTCAGAAAGCCTCAAAGGCTCCGGACTCCTGAGCGGATTTTGCATTGAATCCCAAGTAGGGTCAGTGGATTCGATCTATTCTACCATACTGTCTGGCTATGACACTGTTATCACCTCGCAACTGAAAGATCTGATGGTTATCGAAACGCCTGCAAAATTCTTTGACATCGGCACCGACCATGGCAGTTGGTCCTTTCCACGAAGTTCAGCTTGCAAACTCTTCAGACCTTTAGAAGGGCTGCACCCCACAGTCATGTCTACTTTGAGGCACGCTTTTGAAAGCATTCTCCGAAACAAATTGTTGAAGCAACTCAGTGTAGTCTAGGATCCTGCTATCCTAAGTGTAGTTACTATAAAGTGCGTCGTCTGTCGTTCTGTCACGAAGTCTGTCACGCAATTCCCTACTTCCTGGAAATTCGTCTGGAGGACCAGCTCAAATGCGAGGTGGGTGGGTAGAGATCGTGAAAAAATTGGTAATGGTGTGCATTGAAATAAGGAACCAGTTCGGACTTGCGGAACTCACTTTCGGGGGGGGGGGCGTTCTCTGAAAAACGATGCTCAATGAAAATTGATCTCACTTACTAAAAACCTTAGAGCAAAAACAAAAATGATAGGGAAGCCGAGTCGTAGATGTTCCCAGCATACATGACGTGAGCAGAGGCCCGCCCACAATGGGCGGAGCGTGCTCTGAAGTGTACAGCATTTTCTACAAGTCCTCATAATTCGGTTCCAAGAAGTCCTAGAAAGTGAACAAGGTGGATAAAGATCAAAGAAGGATGGGGATTGCGAGGCGGCGAGAGAGGCGTTAAATATTGACAGTGAACAGGGCATGCACCAAAATGGGCAGAGCTTATCATGAAACGTCATAATTGGTCCACAGAACCCCGGAGACCTGGAAAAGTTGATAGAGGTTGGCGAAGGAAAGGAGGCCATCTGCTATTGATGGACAGGGTATGCACCAAAGTGGGCGGAGTTTGCCATCAAATTTCACAGCTCTATTGCAAGGAGGTCGAGAAGCTGTAAGGACCGAGAAAAAAGTGGATAGAGGTCATATAAGGAGGGTAGATGAAATAGTAATGGTGACGAAGTCATGGTTAAAGCCAGTTTCGTTTCGCATGCTACTGCACACACCACGTGATAGGCTTTAACAGAGCTGAACAACCTTTGGACTTTATCCAGCGCATTTCTCAAAGCGCCTTACTATTGGTTCCTCGGTCATAAGATCAAACACTCTGCAGATTGGCCAGTTTCACTAAAGGCCACCCTCTTCAACACTACGCTCTCTCACCTATCTAATCACTCGCCACGTATAGACCTACGGCGAGTGATCAGATGATCGGTGGGCGTGCACTGGCCCACCGCGCCAAGATTGAGCCTTAAAGGAGGAATTCACGATTAGAATGAAGGTCGAAGAAAGGGAAACTGACCTAGTTGAGGGACCCACGGACCTCCTGAGGGTGCGAACTGACGCGCAATTCGCATGGAAAAATTTGACCTCGGCGACCTATCATGCCTCAAAGCTGGCGGGTCCGGCGATCTCCGCCCACCGATCATCTGATCACTCGCCGTAGTTCAATACGTGGCGAGTGATTAGATAGCTGAGAGAGCGTAGTGTTGAAGAGGGCACAGCGATGAGAGTCGCATCAATGCTCAAATCAACGGGCAAGGAAGGGGTCCATTTCTCGGGTTCTGGGCCGTTTCTCATGGTTCTTCCTTCTTTCGTGTACCACTCACCATCCCTAGGTTAATTTGAAATGGGTTGCTTTTTCATCGTGAATTCGTCCTTTAAGCGCCGAGGCCCAACGCCTAGATTGTCGGTCCAATCTGCGCTCCAGACACACCCTAGAGTTTCGCCGCGCTCTCCCACTAGGTGAATAACTCCTTCTCTCAACCTTATCTCATCTGAACGTCCTTTACGCAAGCTTCGGGTCAATGTTCCTGTATTCTGGGCCCCAGATAGAACCATATAAGCATATGAAAAATTGATTAGCATCTTAAAGCCAAACTTGAAGTCAAACAAGTAATCCAACTTTAGTAACCAAATATCTGGGCTTCAACTACCCATTTACATGAGTCATGGCACGGACACCAACCTTTGCACGGATCAAGCCAAAAGAAACGATACAATACGAAAACCAAAGGAATTACCCAATCAAAACGAATACAAAAAATGTAGAACACATAATACTGAGGAGCGACTTCAAATACAATGACGCTATTGAGGATTGTATTTCTGGATGGGATTTCTAGCCAAGGCAATCTTTCACGGCTACCTTTGTCGACTGGATTCGTTTGTGAAGATCCAGTTCAAGTAAAATTGCACTTGCAGATTCGAACCACAAGCTCAAAGACATGCTGGTTGAATTCCAACCTGAGGGCAAATTTCGACGACTAACGCTACCTGGACGAGCAGGTCGCTTTGGTGATTCTGATCTATTCACTGCTCTTTCGTTTCTTGCCCTTTGAAAAAAGTTCTCTTCCACAGAAAAACGTGTTTTAGGGAAATCAGACGATCAATTTGGATGGATTTCGTGCATTTCTCTGCGAGTATTTTGACGTGGAGCTGCCAGAGGAGTTTATCGAACAATTGTTCCATTCGTTTTCGAAGCCAAATACTACAACAGTAACATCTTAACTTCTGCCCTTCAGCTAATACCAGTACCGGTTGTTAATATCCAAAGGATATGTCAGCTGAAATTGAGAGCACTCGGCTCCTCAATATTATGTAGTTTCCAGCCTGTAGTTAACGTAGCCATATCAATGCTCTTTAGTAAATGTCTACATACTGAATCTCAAGGTCCTCCCCGCCATATGTCCTACATTTAACACCATGGAAGTCGTGAAAGAAAGCCTTATCTAGGTAAAGAAGAGGTTAGAGGTTACACAGGGAACTGCTCTCACTCTCGTTCCAGTGAATAAAATCTGAGCTGCATCCTATCATTGTCTCTCGCCTTTATTTATTGGCTAAGCGCACTCACTGCAGACTCCATTCGCTTCCGGAATAGCACAAGCCTTCCTTCCCGGCACTTGGCAGTTCTCCTAAAAAAGCACCTGTGCCCGATGCATGCTCCTAGTATCTGCCTTGCTCCGCCGGATCAGCGCTAAACTGGAAGGTTGAGAAAGAAGGCCGCCCCAGCACGTGGAAAAAATTAATTTACCGAGAAGGGAAATCCACAGAAATTTCATCCACATGACTCACCCTGCATCGACCATCTGTCTGCAAATATCCGGCTCTTATTATTTCACCGTATTTTTTGAATGAAGGGAAAAAAGCTCTACACTAAGGAGAAATTGGTGTCTCCAAGACAGTACTACGCTCTCAGAATAGACATAAGTGTTGTTAGAGTAGTAATCTTTCCGAAAAGTCTTCTTCGAGAGGGGCTTCGTAAGAGTCGCTACACCACACTAGGTGAGGTAAACCTGCAATAGCCGTCAAAAGGGTTCTCAACGACGATTTTTCGTGCGTTTTTCTGTTGAAAAGGACCTAATATTTATGTGGATGCTTTTCTTCCTGAATCGCAAATCTTCGAGAGGTGAAGATTCGAAAGTAATTAATGACGTTACCTATGTAAAGAGAATTGTTCGAATAGAATCCAAAAATATTTCGGAGAACACTTTTGACCGTTACTGTAGGCCCGGGGAAAGTGCCGCGTAATGTATAACAAAAATCCTACTCGGGGGCGTTCCTGATGGTAACCGCTATTTTGGAATTACTTCTCCTTGCGAAAGTTTCACAAGAGTGGTGGGTTGGGTAATGAACACAACTTTCTCCCAGGCGAGACTCGCACCCGCACCTCTCGGGAGGGGCGAAATTTTTGCTCATGACCCATCATTTTTATGAAATTTCCGGAGGGTCCTTTTTTGAGTTGTCTTTCGATTCTTTGTGTATTGCAGCATTAAATTGATCCTGATGATGCTCCGGAACATCGCAATTCTAAGTAACAGAGTTTGAATTTCTGCAGAAAATCTTAGTATCGATAGTAATTATTTGAATGCAGAGTAGTTGAGAATTCACGCAGGTTTGCAGAACGCCGGACAAGTGTCTTGGAGGAGGCTTTATCGACAGTTCGCGCAAAGTTGGCAGACAACTTGTCGAAGTTCGAGAAATTGACCACTCCATCAGATGTAATCACACTGGACAGGATACCAGAAGAAGGTTTGCGTCGTTTCTCAATCATTCGAATCACCGTGTCTCAACTTTTAGCTGCGTGGACGTGTGACTTTACAGAGTGAACCAAAATTATGAACAGTGGCATTATGTCGTCAGAAGCATAGTTGCCTGATGGAATAAACTGACTTCAGAAAAGTGTTTGCAATTTATCAAAATGCATAACCAGATTACGATCGAGAGCCCGCTTACTGCGCTACAAGAACCTTCAAAGGAGAAGGATGGTGTGTACGGTGGCGCGCAACGGAGGCGTGTCAAAATAGTTCCAGGCTTTTTGCTTTGCCTTCTTGAAGGAATCAAAGTTTTTTTTTCGGGTTTTCACTCACCTTCACTGCCAGGATTAACCATACAGCAAATATGTATATACAATTTATTAAGGCGGCTCCTAGGTACAAGCTCATTAAAAGCTATCCTTTTTTGAAATCCCTGTTTGCAGGGTTTTTTGCTTAATGACCGAGTCTTTTTAAAAGGTCCGTAGTAGAAGAGTGAGTGGCTTTCTATCCACAATTTAGGTGGACTCTTCAGAGTGTCCAGTTCTGCATTTGCAACAATTTTTTTTTCATTTTGGGGTACGAAAGTCGCAAAGAGGGAAACGAATTTCTGCATGAGATAATTGATGTTGATGATAACTGTAAACGCTTTGGATCTCTCCCATCTCCTTTAAGGTGATTCGCAACACAATAGTTCGACTTTAGGCTCATACCGGACTTTATTACGTTGAACTGCTCTGATGTGTGCGCTCACTAGTGGGCTTCAACTCGAGGATTGGCGTACTGTGATGGTTGTTTTATTACTTTCAAGAATTGCGTAATATGGTTCGATAGTAAGAAATACATCGTACCCTGTCGTGCGGGGCAGCGCTCAGGAAAAATATTTTGACGGAAGGGGTCAAGAAAATGGACATAATCGCGCGCACACGCTATCTTCGCAATCTTGACTACCCTATCTGGGAGGCTGGAAGGCCGGAGCAGGGTGAAATATCGTCGAGGATTCCTCATACCGGCACGTCGAGGATCTTCGCGCTGATCAGTCACGCTCACTTTTCCTACGTGGCACATTCACATTCTCTCCATACGCGCTACGCCGTCGGTGTTCTCTCGCGGCGTTTGTCACTCTCAGCACTACTCTCTACAGTACAGAGCTATTGTAATTGGTTGAGAATTCCTCCACCGGTATTAATAGCGGTCGGAGGTGCTGGCGAGGCCAAAGTCTGTTATAAGTGCCGAACTTTCAATGTGCGTTGCAAACATTTCTCATGCTAGGCCTCTGACCCTTTTGTCCTGCAGATGGTTAGAAACTTTTTTCATAGGTCAAATAGAGAACAAGAAAGCGACGTTGGAAATTTTTCGATCATTTTGGGTCTCATGAGATCCTCATCGGCGCTTTCCTATACTACTCTCACACAAGTACTCTCAAACTCGGACGTATTTGGTCAGATAACAATGACAACAGTGCGGTTATTGGGACCTTGCATTAGCGGGCAGCTGAGTCAAAGATTGATCAAAAACCAATGAAGGTTCAGAAACAACGGGACACAGGGCATGTTCGTACACTGTATGTATGTAAAATTCACATGCAGTGCACATGTGGCCCCTACTACGTACAAGAAAGCATTTCGAAAAGGGCTTCACGCGCCTGGGGCGACCCTCCTTGCTGGACGAATACTTTATCAGTAACCTCATGACTGATGAAACTGCGGAACCCAGTCATACCCTTACATGCACATCTTTGTTTCAGTACTTGAAACATTTCTTCTTGTGAGAGCCACTGAGCAAAGGAGTCGTGGCATTGTCACAACTTGAAAGTGTATGACATGGGTGCCATGGTCTTGCCTCATGGTCAGCCGCTGCCATTCTTTTTCGTTCGCAGTACGAGGTGTTTGCGCCCCTCGCGAGACGCACCTGGGCGTGGTTCACTAGGACAGAAAGCGACTTTTCGCGTTTCGCGCGCGAAACATTTTTCGCTGCGGGAACTCCAGGTCCACTCATGATCAGCGGTGGACCTGAGGTTCCTGCAGCGGAAAAATGTTTCGCGCTGCGAAACGCGAAAAAGTCGCTTTCTGTCCTAATGAACCACACCCGACGCACCTTCTTGTGAACACCCTTAAACTCACGCAATACTGCATTATCGTCACCAATTAAAAATTAGTTTACTGTCCGAAAACGCAATAGAGCAAAACGCATGTTTCTTCTGCATGGCTAGGAATGCCAGAAGTACGATTGAAGTGCATTGTTTCGTTTTCAGGAGCTTTAGAGGTCCGCGTGCACAACAACGCGGTCATTGAAGCTCGAATCGCCGTCAAACCTTTGTTTTGTACGCTATCACTCTTAGAGCCAGACACACCCCAAAATAAGCTAGAAGGTCTGTTCAGAAGCCATTCTGTCCGTGAGCCGAAGGAAGCAAAGGGGTCTAATAGAGGATTTCAGTGGTGTTCCATGTGTACGATTCGGACGCAAACGGCTTTTTGGACAAGATAGAAATTGATGGAATCATTGAGCAGATGATGAACGTGGCACGTCATCAGCAGTGGGACACAATTGAGCTGGAGCCTGTGGGTGTCTTGCAGAGTTTACGTTCAAGGCTGGGCAGTAAATAAGAAAACTGCTTCAGATACTTCGTCAAATGATGGCCGACATAGACTCCAATAACGACGGAATTGTGTCTTGGAGGAATGGCGGCGAGGAGGTCTCACGAATATCCCGCTACTCGTTCTGTTGGGTTTCGATACGGTTTGTCCTCAAGAATTGCATTTTCATTCACTATGTCATTGGTTGCTGTATTTCATTGCCGCTCGGGTACATAGTTAGCTACAGCTGCGACAGAATAGAAGTGGCATCAGGTGATCGTTCAGGAGCTAACCCATATGAGATAACATAGTAATCGTGGACAGTAGAAGTTCGACGTGATCATTTATTCCATTCATCCTGCCAAAGTTCATTCAGAGCAGTTTGTTTCAGATGGACATCCTTTTCAAAATTCTATTCAAGGACCACGAAGTAGCAGCATTGTTCTTATAATAAAGGACTGGGGCTGATGATTAGGTGAAGCCATAATTCTGAATTGAAAAACCAGGGACGGTAGTAATCTACCCTCAACTCGGAATCAAAGGTGGTGATTAAGAGCCCTCATCACAGAATAAGGAATCAGACAATCGCGAATTAACCCTGCAGTAAATCACGAGCTTCCCTACATTGTTTGCAAAACTCTGCCCTCGCCCGATTTGAAACCTTTTACCCCACTATTCATAGGCCGCAGCACTACCACTGCACCATGGAGCCATTGGTCTCCCACTTGAGGCGAGAGAATAATAGATAAGGGGTAGGTTCGCGGTTTACTACCGTCCCGGGGGTTGAGTAGCTTTAAAACCTTACGTAGTTTAACCGCGCCTTCGGAATACGTTCTTCTCTACATAGATCTAAATGATGCAAACAGACGTTGACGATTTCTTTAGTTTATTGGATTAAAACTCGGCTGTCATACTAGTACTAGTGTGCTTTTGCGATTGCATGGAAGGACTGTTGCGATTTTCCCATGACTTCTAGACCTAGGGCTGACAAAGAGGCACAGAGGAGCACGCGTCGGCGGAAACCGTGTTTTAAAGTCATTAATGTTTGAGGGGTGGGGGGGGGAGGGACCACCACTTAGAGCGCATCATAACACCTGCCACAATGCCAGCATCGCTTCTTATGGCCTCCTTCGTGGCGGAAGCTAACACGAGATCTGAAACATAAAAATTTGCTAAAAAACGCCTCACTTATTCCCTCTAAAATTTATCTCGCCTTTGGCACGATATAAAAACCCTTCTATGTTTGATTCAACTTGCGTTGAAAATATTGTCATTAACTAATTAATCAACACACAAGTTGACCCCTTCACAATGACATGAAGGAATATTAGTCAATACATACGCTTGAAGATAATTGTGCTCTAATGTAGTGTTACGTAACAAAATACGAATTATTATAAGAATGGGGCTTTAGCCAACTACACAATGAAAGGCGAACCTAAATATCACGGTTTGGTCTTTGCCTCATTAGGGGTCACCAGTGCCATGAACCCACTCGTCTTTGTGCGACCGTGTTAACAGGGAAGCGATGGGTATGGCTGGTCATTGTCCAGAGAAGGAAGAGGGCTTCTTGCGCTTTATATGCTTGCCATCGCTGTCGTGGTTTGTGGAATCCTAGATCGTACGTCGCACTAAGGGTTGTCCGCATGGCGGACTAGTGCTCTGATAACGCGGATTGTGTGGACGGAGAAATGTGGAAAACATTCATGCCCAAAGGTGGCGTGATCCGATCCATTTCATTCTCTCGTAACGTTTGCGCTGGAAGACCCAGTGCGGAGCTCCTTGGCGAATTGCCTTCTGTGAGCACGCTTGAGTCGTCAGTATCCGAGGGTTGTGGAATCCCCACTATCGTATGCAGAGCACGCAGTATTCGCTGCATCTCTTGACTGGCTGTCGCAGTATGGGCGCATAGGCGTTCGGATTTTGCCTGCAGAATGCACTGTTCGTCTATGCTCTGCCAAGGAGATCTTGCACATACGGAACGCTCGGCAAAGTCGACCGCGCGGTATTTGTGACCAGCGTGGCGCAGGCTATGTACGCGGATCAAACTACGACGACGCTGCGCGATCTAGCTGTTCTAAGGTAGGGCTTACCTGCTCTTGACATGAAATGGCGAATAATGTTTTATTTTGACAGCTAAGAGGTCTAAGCCTCAGCTACGCCTAGAATGTTATTGCAAAGTTAGCGAAGTGAGTCTACAGGGTGGTCCAAAATTATGAGGACCAAGACATTGTGTCGTTAAAAACGCATAGTAGCTTGATGGAACAAACAAACTTCAGGGAAGTGTTTGTAACTCTTATCTCAAAGTAATTCCAGAATAGAATTGAGATCTGCCACCTGCCGCGTTTACACGAGCCTTCAGATGAAGGGGGATGGCGCGTGCGGTGGCACGCAACTGAGGCGTGTCAAAATGTTTCCAGGCCTTCTGCTCTGCTTTCTTCAGGGGATCAAAGTTTTGTGGGGCATTTATTTGCGCTTGCATCCAGGGTGTAAAATACAGAAATCTAGAGCTATTAGGTGGAAGGTTCCATTGTAACAATTCTTCGAAAGCAACGAACTCGAAAAATCGCTTTTTAGAGAATTTTTGCTTTATTCTTGGGTGCTCGGTCCTGTAAAAAGTCCCAAGTAGACTACTCGAGTGGCTTTCTATCCACTACAGATGTGGAGTCTTTAGAGTGTCTGGCTGGGTTTTCACATCAATTTTTTCATTTTGGGAGTACGAAAGTCGACAAGGGGAGACCTAGTTTCTGCATCTGATAATTATCCTGGTGGTAACTGTAACTTTCGAGTCTCCGAATTTTCCATCTGTGGTGGTTCCAAACTTATTGAAGAGTTGAACTGTTGCTCATAAGAGCTTCCCTGATACGTTAGACTGCCGCTAGATGTAACGTGCCAGAGCCCCTAGTGAGTTCAATTTGAGGACTGACTAAAGTGATGTAGTTATTTCACTAGTTTTGAGAACTGCATGAAATTTGGTTTCATTAGGAAGAAGACATTGTACCCTTCACATAGTGCACAGAAAAGGAGATGAAAATGGAGCGACTCGGAAAAAAGTGGATATGACTGCGCGCGCACGCGGTCCTCATAATTTTGGACCACCCTGTATACTCGATATCGAGAGTTGGGGTAGGCGTGTCACCGGAAGTGACGTGCACTTGATAGAAGCTATGTGGATAAGCTGCTTCCAACATACATCGCTGGCTATCAGCAAAGCTGGCAACAGCTTATCCACGCAACTTCTATCAAGTGCACGTCACTTCCGGTGACACACCTACCCCAACTTTCGGATATCGACTGTACATTTGACGCGGTACCTTACACGGACGAATAACGTGAACGTA